ATGGTCAATTTACTACTCATTGTTCAGTGGAAATTGAAATGTGTGTGATGATAAAATGAATAGTTTGGCAGTAGGGCTACAATTATCCAGATTAAGTATATAATATATCAAATTAAATCCCTATCTGTCTAGTTTCTAAACATTTAAACCTCTCATCAATTGGAGTTTTATTGAGCAAGTTATGATCAATTTACTACTGACTGTTCAATGGAAACCAAAATGTATGTGACTATAAAATGAATGGTTCGGCAGTGGGGTTACAATTATCCAAATTAAGTATATAATATATCAATTTAAAGCCTTGTATGTCTAGTTTTTAAATATCTCATCAATTGGATTTTTATTGGACAAGTTACAGTCAATTTACTACTGACTGTTCAGTGGAAGCCAAAATGTGTGTGATGATGAAAGGAATGGTTCAGTAGTGAGGCTATAATTATCCAAATTAAGCATATAATATATCAAATTAAAGCACTGTATGTCTAGTTTCTAAAGATTCAATCCTTTCATCAATTAGATTTTTTTTGAGTAAGTTATAGTCAATTTACTACTTATTGTTCAGTGGAAACCAAAATGCGTGTGATGATAAAATGAATGGTTTACTTGACCCAAATTTAAGGGATTATCATATTAAAACTGATAAGAAATATTTCAAATAATACTTATTAAGTTTAAAAACGGAATTAGCCAAAATTAATTCATTTAACATATAGACTCGCACATCAGCAGGACATAAACAGTTAATCATTCATATAACAATTTTAAATACACGAATGTTTATACAGAAAACATATTCAACACAAATGAACTGTTTCTACTAATGTAGATATGACACATACTCATAATTTGGCTGACAATAGGATCATCCTCAATTTGATATTAGTAAAGTACATGAATGCTTCCTTGAAAATAAACATAACAAAATTTAATTGATCTTTATGTTAAGATTGTTAAGAGAAAATCATTTCTTTGTAATAACTGCTTTCTATTCATATGCTCGTAAAATATACATAATAAAATACATGTATATTAACATAAATAGTTGGGCCCATAATTTTTATTTTATTAAACATATACATTCTTTACAAAAAGTTAGTGTCATGTACAAAAACTATCAAAAACTATGTGGACAGTGTAGCCATTCCTCCTCGTGTGCCAACATCCATCCGACCATGTCCTCACCTAGATCCTGTAAAAATATAGAAAGATAACAGAGTGAGCACAAATAATGCTCAGTAAGTAAACCCTCTACTCATTTATCCCCGTAACTCTATCACTCTAATTCTTTCCTTACAACTCTCATTTACTCTCTCTTCTATGTTTCTCTCTGTTTTCTCTTTCTACTAACTCTCTTCTGTAAGTCACGGCCCCATCTTACTGGAGGCACGGCCGGGACTCGCTCCCGCTCTCCGTGACTTTTAGTCATTCCCAGCCGATCGGACTCGGTTATGCATGGATTCGGAACCCTTGGCCATGTGAGTGTATAATCTCTCTCTCGGGTACTCTCAGTATAGCCCTCATCCGCATGCACTCTCATGGGCTACACCATTTTTCTCTCTCATACTCAAGCCGCTCTTTCTCTTTGCGGCGTACATGCGAGAATACTCTACCCATTACTCACGGGTTCCCCATCGCATAACCTACTCTACTCTTTTTTCTCTTTTCTTTTAGAGAAGCTCACACTCAAAGTACTCTACTCTTTCTCTAATGCATAATTAATGCATATGGATGATTCATTCTCATTAATGCACTCATGAAATGCAATTATGCCATGTAGCAATAATTAAGGTTCTCTACTCTTACTCATGCCTTTCTCAAGCATTTCATCATACAACTCATGTGCATATAAAACTCTACTTTAACTATAACTCTTCTCCTCTCTTTAATCACCCACAAATGGGAGAAACTCCCTCATACTCTCTAAATTCCTGTTAAATAAACTTACTCCCATAGGGTTTGTTCAAAACTCTCTCCAACTTCTATCAACCCAACTCAACATCATAGAAGCTCAACACTTCTCATACTCAAACATATTCAATAATCATAAATAACTACTCATCTCATCTCATCTCAATTTCTCAACAAGTATAATTCATACACATACATACACAAATCTCTACTCAAATGAATTCTTAAATCTCAAATGAATTCTTAAATCTCAACTTAGGTTGGATTTACTTACCTTGTGGGTAAATAACTTCTCTAGCACTTTTCCTTCCCCTTGTTGTCTTGTCTTCTCTCTACAACTTTAAACAATAACAACATAAGACTTCCACAAATTATAAGCAAAATTCTCATCTAAAGCAAGAATCCTTACCTTAGGATGCTTTAGATTAAATCTCTACTAAAAACTACCCCAAAAGTCCTTAGAAAATCTTGGAAGATTGGGTGGAGAATTGAGAGAAATTAGGCAATGAAAATGGCGGTGGAGATGATGAAGAATGAAGGGCTTACGCTTTTTAACTCAACTTACATACCATCATTCCCATTCTGCCCTTACTCTTTCTTGGAAATTCCATCATTCTCTTTTTATTCCTTACAATCACACCCCCGACTACAACACATTCTCCATGAAATTTCCTTACATTTTACTCCCCACTTTTCCTGCTAATTAGGGGTAGAAAGGTCATTTTACCCCTATGGAGAATTCTCTAGAAACCTCAATAAACTTTTCTGCCGTCTCGTCGCTGCGGCGAAGAAAGTTCCGTTGCCCCAGCGAAAAATTACAGAGTTGGCGTCGCCACGGGGAAGACTGTAATTTAGAAATTCTCCAAGTTTCAACCAATTTCAAGGCAAACACTCCATCAACTCAACTCATACATTCAACCAAGGGCCAACCAACAAAAAATAACAACATACAAACTCAATTGAGGGTAGAACAATAAACATTCAAACAATACAGCAAATCTTAACTACGTACCTCAAGTGGGGCGTTACATCATTCGTATAACAACTATTACCTGAAAACGAAATCAATAAAAGTTAATTAATCTTCATATTAAAATTGTTAAGGAATACACTTACCGTTCGGCAGGACTAACATAATTAATCATTCAAATAGATTGACCGAACAAAAACAATCATTCAACCAAATAATAATCGTTAAAATAGTTAGGAGATATACTTACAATTTCGTATTAAAATAGTTAGAAGATATACTTACAGTTCAGAAGAACAAATCAAAATAAGAACTCATTTGACAATGTCAATCAGACATCCTTCCTTTATTCTATGCCAATTCATGAATCTTTGACCTATAAACAACAACAAAAACATAAATAAATAAAAAATCATCGATTAACAAAATCATGAAGATCAAACATATTATTGACACAAACTAACATGACCTATAAACAATTAACAAAATACTAGACGTATTGTTGACACCAACTAACATATTGCAATAATATATAATTGAACATACGCCCTTTTTATAACCTCTTATTTAGACTTTTTGAATTCCAACACAATTAAATACAAATTGAATACGAATAAAAGTTTGCAATGTCAATACAATGCACCTATATAATTATTAATAAACATGTATGCTTTTACTAACAGTGCAATGCACCTATGTAATTCAATCTTTATGTCTATTTATTTAGACTTTGGAATACCAATGCAGCAATTAATATTGTCTACATCATCACTAATAAAATTTAACCACATAACAATCACAAATCCAATGTGTCATTATGGTTAGACCTTTAGAATGCTAATATAATTCACTTGTATTATTATTATTATTAATTATTAATACAGATCCTATTTTTTTAATTAATTAATAATTATAGATGGAGTAATAAATATCAACCTAACGTGTCAAAATAGAGCAATTTGATTGGTTTGTTAATCCAATGTGTCAAAATGGAATAATTTTAAAGCTTTTAAAATATGACACGTATCGATAAACTTATATGGTATTCACCTTTATATATATATATATATACAGTAAAACCTCTCTATAGTCATAATGGTGGGACTAACTAATTTTAATACTATAAGGAGGTTACAACTTAATAGAGGTGTAGTTACAAAAATTTCTTATTTCATAATTCATGTTTTAATAATACAATATTAGGATTTCAATTTATGTTTTAATAGTATTAGGGTTTCAATTCAGCCTTTCAATTACCTACTTTTGAAACGAATAGAAGATCGTGTCTTGGAATCAACAAAGATAAATATCCTTGATGGAATTGTAAATGCAGTTACTGCATGGTCAATTAATGTGAAGCCACAGACAATTGCCAATTGTTTTAAGCATTGCAAAATTAGGACCTCCGATGTTGATAAATTACAAATTATGAATGAAGTGGATGAGGAGAATCAAAGAGTCAGTGTAGAATTGAGTGATCAGATTCGGCAACTTCACTATACTAATTGAATAGATATTAATATCTTCCTTAATCATCCATATAAGTAACAAGTCATATATGCTTTAACTAAAGAATAAATCATTGCTACAATTAGACAAGAAGAGAAATGAAATAATAATAAGGTTGATAGTATGGAAATACAAAAAGTTTCTTACTAAGAAGCTCTAAACATGTTTGAGAAGTTAGAAATATTTTAATTTCAACAAAAAAATGTCAATGCTAGGGAGTAATGTACCTGCAAGTTAAAAGATGTGATAACACCTAAAAAACAAATCATTGTCCTAAACAACTTTAGATAAATATTTTTATTTCATCTTAAAACTTTAATGTAAAATAACATATATTTTTTTACAATATACAGATAATTAATATTATGTGGAGGCAACTTTTCTTAAGATGAGAATTAAAAATATTATAATTTATTACACTATAAAGTTTATTCTTATTTATAACTATCATAAATTAGGAATATAATTTTTTAATAATCACGTAAAGTTTATCGATATATGGAGTATCATGTTGAGAGGTTTTATTGTATATGCTAAACTAATTTCCTTATTATTATTTTTTTCTATATATTTCTCTTTCCAGTTCCACTTGAAAACAACTCTACGGACTTATATCAAGAGTTCAAGACCAAGACACCTAGCATCGGGCTCCTTCAATCTTCAACTGTCACCTCCAACAAAATTTGCATTTCTGGTTCTCCCTCTTCCTCCTCCCTTCTTCTTCATCAAAGTTTTATCTTCATTTTTCAGTTTTTTCAAAGACTTACTATTTATTTGTCTTCGTTATACATTTTAAACCTGCTGTCTCTTAGATTCATTCATTATAATGACCAGCCATGAAAACCCACCACAACAAACCAATCAATTTCACTCTTTTACCTCAAAGTTCAAACCGTTATTCATCTTATATTCATCATCCATTCTCATTCTCTTGCTTGCAATCTCTTTCACTTTCACCAAAACTAGCTTTTACAAAATCCCCCCCTTTAAATCACACTTCATTCTACACCCCCCTTTTTTTCAATCACTTTTAGGGTTTTTTCACCGAACCCAGAAGCCAAATGATCCAAATCTCATTTCCAAGCCATCTCATTGTGTTCTATGGATGGCTCCATTTCTTTCAGGTGGTGGGTATAGTTCAGAATCTTGGTCTTATATATTAGCCCTTAAGGAACATGTGAAGAACCCTAGGTTTAGATTGGCTATTGACCAACATGGTGATTTAGAATCTTTAGAATTCTGGGAGGGCTTGCCTCAAGATGTCAAGAAATTGGCGTTTGAGCTTTATAATACAGAATGTCTGATGAATGAAACTATTGTTGTTTGTCATAGTGAGCCTGGTGCTTGGTACCCACCATTGTTTCAAACCCTTCCTTGTCCACCAACTGGTTACAAAGATTTCAAGTTGGTAATTGGTAGAACAATGTTTGAAACTGATAGGGTGAATCTTGAGCATGTAAAGCGGTGTAATCGGATGGATTTTGTTTGGGTTCCTACTGATTTTCATGTTTCTACTTTTGTACAAAGTGGGGTTGATCCTTCTAAGGTTGTAAAAATTGTGCAGCCTATTGATGTTAATTTCTTTGATCCCCTTAAGTATGAGCCATTAGATCTTGCCTCAAAAGGAAAATTGGTTTTAGGTACAAGAGAAACGGATTCGAGTGCTAAGGAGTTTGTGTTCTTAAGTGTGTTTAAGTGGGAGTATAGGAAAGGATGGGATGTGTTGTTGAAAGCATACTTGGAAGAATTTTCTAACGCTGATGGGGTTGCTTTGTATTTGCTAACAAATGCATATCATTCTGATAAAAATTTTGGTAGCAAGATTGATAAGTTTGTAAGGGATTCTGATATGGCAAAACCAGTTGAGGGTTGGGCTCCAATATATGTGATTGATAACCACATTGCTCAGCTTGTTTTGCCACGTGTTTATAAGGCAGCTGATGCGTTTGTTCTATCATCAAGAGGAGAAGGGTGGGGAAGGCCTCTTGTCGAAGCAATGGCAATGTCTTTGCCGGTCATTGCAACGAACTGGTCTGGACCGACTGAGTATTTGACGGAGGAGAACAGCTATCCGTTGCAAGTTGATAGAATGAGTGAAGTAACGGAAGGGCCATTTAAAGGGCATCTTTGGGCAGAACCGTCTGTTGATAAGCTGAAAACTCTTATGAGACAAGTGACGAGTAATGTTGGTGAAGCCAATGCCAAAGGGAGAAAGGCGAGAGAGGACATGATCAGAAGGTTTTCTCCTGAGATTGTTGCGGGGATTGTCAGAGATCATATATACAATTTCCTTGACGAGGAAGCATAGAGAGTAAATTTTTAATCAATTTTGTTACTTAAAACTTTTTGTTTAGCAACTTGTACAAAACTCAAGACTATATGTGGCTTGTATATTAGGTTGGTAGAGTTGCTTCCCAAGCTGCTTGCAAATGTGATTTGGTTGATATATTGATTGTATCATGTAGATTCTAGCATTTTTGTCAGGTATATTATCATAGATTATGTTAAGACAACATGAATCAGATGAATTACATCGGTGAAAAAAAAATGACTTAATTTGAGAACAGTTTGAGTGCTTATATTTATATAGCACTTCGTGCTCATTCTTTATGTTTTATGTTGAAAAATCACTTGATTTGTAACATAGAACATGAGATTTTTAGCAAAGAACATTATAATTGTAATATCAAATATTAACTTTTTCCCACCCAAATAATGGTTTAGTAACACTTTCTTACCTACAGACTTTTAAAATACCACTTTTTTATCTAAAAAAACACACTTTCCAATTCGACAGCAAACGAAAAGCAAACTTGTTATATACTGTTAGAGCTTTTGAAGAGGAGAGGCCGGTGAATTTTTTGGTGATAGAAAGTTACCAAGTGGCTGCGAAACTGTAATTGCTCGATTGCCGACGATTAATGAGGTCAACAGAAGTAAGGTTTGAGAGGTTTTGATGAGTGATGATCGGGGAAAAGAATGAAGATGGTTTAGGATCGCAAAGATACCAGAATCTATCACTATGGGCGAGAGGTGGAAAAGTCTCATTAAAATGTGTAATTTAGATGAAAAAGTAATATTTTTAAAGTCTGTAGGTTAAAAATGTCACTTTCGGTTTACTCAATTTTAATTGTGACATAGAATGCGAACAAAATACTCAATTAAAATTCTTTGCTTGCCAATTATTTTAATAAAACATATCATGCAGAAAAAAGAAAAGAGAAAACTGTAAACATCTTTCGATTAAGTTAAACAAGCAATTGAAATTTGGAGTAAAAAAATCCTGCATTCTCTACATCTTTGGATGACAAGCATGAAAAGATAAAAAATCATTACAAAGTTAATTTTTTTCGTTGTTTTATTCGTTCGGTGAATCACAAGGATATCATATCATTATTCGTTACAAGTTGTAAAATGCGGGTGATATCCAATATACACATTACACGGCAAAAAGTCATGGTTCTGTAAATTATTATGACCATGTATGAAATGATAATAGCATTGCAAAAAACTTTACACATAATATTATTGAAGATAAGGAGTGAAAACTGTAAAAACTTCCTTGTAAACAGGCTTCTTGAAATCAACGGCCTGCAAAGAAACCGAAGCTTTAGAGATCAACACAAGGAAAAAATTAAAACTTGTTCTTGTAAAAACTAATGCGGGGAAAGGTATACTGACTTGCTCAATTACTTGTTCAGGTGACATCCATGACCACTGCCCGAACTCGGGTTTTTCATTCCCATCACCCAGAAGATTGATCTCTTCCTCCTTCCCAGTGAACTTAAGAAGAAACCTGTATTTTTGCATTTGTACATATAAAATGAAAATAAAAGAAATGTAGACTGGATGGCACGTTAAAATTAAAAAACATCATCGATTCAAGGAAGCTAAGGCAGAAATAGGTAAGTGTTAGAAAAGAGCCAAAACTCACCTGCAAAAGATCACTCACAAACAACCACCAAACCACTCTGAAACTCAATAGTCAATAACCCAGAAATTCCAGTCACACCAGAACAGTTTAATCACTTCAAAACAATTAAAGAACACAAGCAATACTGAATAACCTCAATTTATATATAGAATAGCAACTCTGTGACAACACTACTCCAATAACAGTTATCTACAACTACAATTCAGCATAACAGAAGAAAACATAACAGTTCATCTACAACTACAATTCAGCATAACAGAAGAAAAGCATAACAGTTCATCTACAACTACAATTCATCACTTGCACGTCACTTCTCATAAACCTAATACCGCCTACACACTCACGCATACAGCCTGACAATTAGTCCCTCATCCCTTTTTACGCCTTTATTTTCCCCCCATACACTAATGTGTTGTTGGTCTCATCAATAAGCTGCATATTAACCTCTGCCAAAAATAATCATGAAAAGTATAGGCACAAATCCACTTATTTCTACTTTCTAATATTCCCAACCTAAACTAATGAACAGAGCCTAGTTTGCATATGTTACCGATAAAAAAACAGCACCATGTTAAATGAGTCTGCCAATTAAAAGCTGGGCTAGGCAGCGAATATGAAGCAGTACAATGTTATATGTCACTTCCTCAATCTTTCTTCTAGTAAATGAAAGGCACTTGAAAAGTAGGTAGTAATTTCGTCTTTTTAAGTCTACCTTCCAATATGGCCATGTTTCTGGTCCAACCAGTATTATAACACACTAAGGGCCAAACCAAGTTACCTACCACTTCTGTGCTTGACCTTTCCAGTCAGATCCCCATTGATGTTTAAGTTTTTCCCTGACGTCAGGAGGGAAATCATAAGTCAACCAATGAGGTGTCTGCATTCATATTTGAAATATTTGAATTAGCAATTGGCAAAAATTATTAACTTAATACAATATGCAAGACCACTAACAAATACACAATTGTCACAAGCCTCAACTAACATAGGTGGCACTAATTTTCCAGGCACACAAACACGCATAGAACATAGAGAGCCATATGTATAACTTTGGGGCAGAAGGGTTTACTATGATCTTTAGAATTGAACACGTTAGAGGATCACATATTTAATTTTGGCCAAAACAAAAAAAAAAAAAAAAAAAAAAAAAAAAAAAAAAATGCATTGATAAAGAACGAAAGTTAAATTCAGGAAATCCAGGAGGAATTAAAATAAAATGAAAGATATCAGGATCTGAAGGTATCACAATCAAAGCACATAAACAAACTGCCAATGATAAAGTAGAATGGTTGGTTGAATTCCAGATATTGTGTAGACGAAGAAAATGAAACAACAAATGATGTAATATGCACCTAAATCAGAAAATTGACAACATTAAAACTTGCACCATTATTAAACTGCATAAAAACAGTGATAAAAGAAGCAAACAGATAGACATACTTAAGTAACACAGCAGTAAACCTGCATCCATGGCAATAGAGCAATTGCATGATCTATCGTAAAAACCACAAAATTATAGTCAATAGAGTCAAAACCAAAATTTCAATTAGGGATTGAATGGTAAACATCTATCTATTTGCAAACAGCCCTCCAGTTCTTAAATACAGTCCACTACAACATGTTTCAAAATTCTGTTAGACCACCCTGAGGTTCTGAAATCCGTTAAAACACTTCCCTACAAATTCTCTCAAATCATTTAAGTTACTATTTGACATAGCTTGACCATTAAATGCACATTTATGAAATAAAGTAACAGAAAAACAACAGCAAGACAGCTTTGACCAAACATCATCACAAGAATTACAGATTGAAAAGAATAAGGAGTTGCTTTTGTTCAATGGTTTTCTCTTAATAACATTGACCTGTCATTTATTTCTTAAAACATTCTATTTATATTTATCTCTTAATAGAAAAATTGTCTAAACATTGTTTTTTCACATGTTTTTTTAGTCCATAATTGCAACAAAACATGAAGACTAAATAGTCAACTTTGATCACTTCAAGAAAATAAGGACAAAACGAAAATTTCAATAGTAAATTTTAAGTCAGATAATTATTAAGAGAGGGCAGCATTCAAGGAATTTGACAATCTTGTTAGGTGAGCATATTTACACTAAACATAAGAATGTTTATGAAATAATATTGAAAATCTTTGCAAATATTTAATCAAGCTGCCCTGAAAGCTATAATGAACGAGAAAGAACAATAAGTAAAGCCAAACCTCAGCAAGAACTTCTGCTGAGCTGATTCCAGTTTCTTCTCTTAATTCTCGAATGGCTGCAACTTTTGGATCTTCACCCTCATCAATGCCACCCTGTTCAACAAGTTAAGTAGTATTGAGATGCCACCAGATGTAATATAAAAGCAGTGCATTGTCCAAAAGGAAAACTGAAGACACCGTTACCAGCTTGAATTCAACTTTAATATACAGCAAAATCTAGCTCTCTTACAATAAATCCAAGATCAGGATCTGTTTAAGTGTGTATGAAACTGCTAAAAAATACAGCTATAAGTAATGACCCTCAAAGGTTCACTCTCCATTTTATCAACATAAAAACATCCATGATCCATAAATTGTAAAATGAATTAAGGAACATATGTTGGTAACGTAACTATGACTTGATACAATTACACATTTACCAAATAATTGGAGTAATTCACTACACACAGTCCAAAATTTCTTATAACTTGCTGTTAAAAATGTTTTTTTAATATGTTCATACCAAATCAAAAACATCACCAAATTTCAGTAATGTCACTGGAAACCTAGTTTGGAAATATCAAACATTACACTTGTAATTTGGAATGCCACATTACGTGGAATATAACATTACAATTAAGAGTAATGCTAGCCTTACTCCCCCTTCTTACTCCTTTCTCTTACTCACTCATGTTAATCTCCCTTCTTACTCCCTTCTCTCTCTTCTTACACCCACCTACCACATGAGTGAGTAAGAGAAAGGAGTAGGAAGGGGCAGTAAAGCTAGCATTATTCTACAATTAAAACTTTCAATGTTTCCAGAAACCTGGTTCCAAAACCGTCACCGAGATTTCACTTAGTGCCTTTCCAGTATTAGGCAAGATTGTATTAACACTCAAAATTTATACCCTAGTAACAAGTAATAACATTCAGTATCGATACACCACCGCTTTATCCGATCCTTGGCAGCAGTTGAATTGGCACTGCCCTCTTATGTCAATCCAAGAGTTGCTAAAGACACATACCCAGATATTTTACAATTTCTCAAAAGTAATAACTGATGATTTGGACTTGAACCCACAGCCACATTTCTTCCAAGGTAGCTAAAAATCTATATGTTTTCCAGGAAAACTCAAGTATGCGTACCTAAACCCAAACAACTTCATACTTATCCAATAGTTTTAATTTCAGTATCATAAAATGACCGTCTAGTGAAAACTTACCTGGGGCATTTGCCAGGAATCGGGTATATCGAGTCTTGAAGCAGCAAAAATCTGAAATTTTTTACACCAAATGAACATCATATTATTATTAAATAAATAGAGAGAGAAAATAAACACACATAATTGAGAATTCCGCCATAGAGATGATTATTAAACCTTTTTGGAAGAATTAATGAGACAGATTCCGACATTTCTTCGATAACCTTCAGGAGGGGCGTCCATTGATGAATGAGCGAGCGGGAAGTTGGAAATTTTGGAGAGATTAGAAGGGTATTTTGGGAATGTAAGATTAGGATTGGAGCGATTCAGAAGAGAAATAGAGGAACGATTAACTGGGGAATTTAAGAAGATGGACCGGCTTAAAGTCCTTGCCATGCTTTCTTTCCATTTTCTTTGACACTGATAGTTTATACGAAAATATTAAACATTTGTTTAAATAATTTATATTTCGAATGGTGGACCAAATGGGCCGGCTTAGGCGTAATCCGGCCCGCTTCAACCCGGCGGTATAAAAGGTGGGCCGAGTATTCCCCACCAGTGGGTTGGGCCTTTATAGGCCAACCCAGCGACCCGACAGTTTTTTTTTTAAAACCCGTCCAACTTGGGTTGGACAAAAAAAAATTAAATATTTTTTTAGACAAAAACTCATTTTACCTTTTAAATATAGTCATTTTATAGCAGTTAGAGGGGTCTTTTTTGTCATTTTCTTTCCCCCTTTTTTTTCTATAAATAAGCCCTAAACTCTCGTATTTCCTCACATCCCAAATTCTCTCATTTTCTCTATTGAAATCTCTCAATCTCTTTGTTGTCAATTTACTCTCATTTTAATTTTTATTAGTTTTTGTAATTTTTAATTCATATTTCTAAATTCCAATCCTCCTTCTTTAATTATTTATTTCTTTTATATCCATTTTTTTTAACTAGAATGAATAGATATTTTCATCTCATCAATTTCGATGATGAAGAAAATTATTCTAGTCCCCCTAAATTTACTAACGTAAATGTAGTAAATTCAAATAGTCTCACTTTCCTATTCTCAAAATCCGATACACCTCATAATATTCCCCCCTTCCTCCCCATGTTGCTACAACTCTCGGTGGTTCTAAAAGTTATCCTCGTAATCGTCTTCCTCGTCCAACTCCATCTCAAGTAGAAGCGAGTTCATTAACTACAGTCAAAACTGACGACAAGCACACATTAGACGTTTTGGTACATTTCGAAAAGTTTTACAATACAAAAAATAGAGTACAAGTGAAGAAAGCAAGATGCAAGTATTGTGAAAATATTTATAAAACTGACGCAGGTAATGGTATTAGTACTTTAAAAAGGCATGCTACTAAACATATGAATCAACTTGGAAATAGAGAAATTAATTAAACTCAAATAACTAATATGGGTACTACTTGGCGTTATAATTCCGATATATATAGAGAATAATTAGTTTTATATATTGCTACAACTTATTAACCTATTAATATGACTTAAGATAAATATTTTGAAAGATTTATTAAAAATTCATTTTTCTATGATTTAAAAATTATTTTAAAACTGCAACTAGAAATGATTTAATAAAATTATTTGGGAAAATGAAATTAAAATTAAAAAATAAAATACATAGTTGTCATATTAGTGTGGTTCTAACCGCCAATATTTGGAGCGGTAGAGCTAAACAAACTATATTTATGTGACTAATTATTTTTTTGATAACGAATGTAAATTAAATAAATTTTTATTGAGATTTAGATTAATGGATATGGATCATAAAATTGTTATATTGTTCACAAAGTGATAAGTTTGACTTTAGATAATGCAAGTGCTAACAGTAGAGCTATAGATTTTTTTTAATACAAATTTTCCTTTTTATGACATTTTGAAGTTTTTTCATCAACGTTGTGCATGTCACATTATTAATTTAATTGTGAAAAGTAATTTGAAAAAAATTAGAAATAATATTGATAGAATTAGGGATTGTTTAGCTTGGATTACTAGTAGTAATAGCAGAAATATTGAATTTCAAGATGCTTATATAAAATCAAATGTGTCTCCTAAAACTTTTGCATTAGACATGCATGTTAGATGGAATAGTACTTATTTAATGCTTGATTCATGTTTACCTTATGCAAATTTCATTACTTAATTTGTAGCAAATAATAAGGGCCCTCATTATTTGATAGACAGTGATTGACATATAACTCAAAAATTTCATTTTTTTCTAAATTTTTTTTATCAATCCACTTTAAAACTTTTTGATGTATATTATCCTACTAGTCCATTGATAATACATACAATTATAAAAAATTTAGATTTATTAAAAAAAAAAAAAACAATGAAAGATTAGCGGGACCAATGGAGGCAATGAAATAAAAATTTAAAAATATTGGAAACTCATTCCTTTTCTTTTTTGTTTAGCTGCCATATTTGATCCTATAATTAAATTAGCAGATTTAGAAAATGGTTTAAACACGTTAAGTGAAAATTTACGAGACAAAGCATATGTCAATCAACTAGGAGAGATAAGCCAGTGTCTTGCAAAGGTATATTTGCAATATGAAAGCAGATATGGTAACCAGCAAAGAGGTGAAATACCTAAGGAAGTAGCATCAGAAAACACAAATGAAAACTTCGACTCTTGGAGTGTACTTAATAGGCCGAAGAGGACCTGAACCTGGAACATAGCCTCCTCTTCAGAAGCATCAAGAACGAATATACTGTCCTTTATGCAGCTATAGAGTAATGAGTTTCACCAATATTTGGAAACCCCCGACGTGCTACTAGCAGATCCACAACAAAAAGCCAATTTCGATGTCTTATAATATTAGAAAACCAGAAAATGTATTTTTCCGATATTATCAAGACTTGCCTTAGATGTTTTCTTTATTCTTGTCTCATCCGAACAAACATTTAGTGTAAGTGGAAGAATTTTAAATGACAAAAGGACTAAACTTTCACCAAAATTAATTGAAGTCCTCACATGTCTTCGAGATTGGGAACAGTCACGCCATCAGGATCAATATGAGGTTGTCGACGATACTTTAATATAATAATTTTAATTTTGTAATTTAGATGATACAGATGAAAAATTAGTTGTTTTGTAAATTGTAACTTTGTAATTTGCACTCTTTTTTCCTTACCAAGTTTTTGTCCCAATTGCGTTTTTCTAGGTAAGGTTTTTAACGAGCAATAATTATTATAATTTCTTATTTTTTGATAAATGAATAAATCTAATTTTTCTTATATTACAATTTAATTGTATTAAAATTGAATTAATATTTGAAATGTTAATAAAAAAATTAATTTAATTGAATTATTGATATTTTAAAAATTAGCTAAAAAATTGCACAAAAGAAAAAATTTAATTTTTTTTTTAAATTTCAGGCTAGCCCGCACAAAAACCCATCGAGTTATGGTTGGCGGGCCAGGTTGGGCTAACCCTTCTAGCTAAAGAGGCAGGCCTTGTTGGCTGGTCGGGTTAGGCCTAGCCTGCAATTTGTATTAACCCGCCACAAGTTGAGCCGAGTCGAACCGGGCGGGTTAATTTTCCACCTTTATTCGAATCTAATTATGTTATAAATTTATTTTTTCAATTTTTAATATTTTGTATTTTATTAAATTGACTATATTATTATTATTAATATTATATTTTTCAGGTTTTAGTCATTTCATGAAGATATTATTATGAAAATAAAGATGAGGAAGCCCCCATTAGATTTTTCAAAAATAATAAAAGTAGATTTTCAATATACAATTAATAAAATGCTTTATTAATATCTTTAATAATAAAAAAATCAAATTAAAACAAAGTGGTTTTTTATTTTCATGTTGAGGTGATACTACACTTACAACCAAATCTCACTAACTTTCTCTCACAACCTTGACGTGATAACTCACAATTAGTTAGTTCGTAAATGAGTTTGGTCTACTCGCTATGGGTCACACTTACTCAATTGCGAGGTAACCAATTCTGAGCTGACATGACAAAGTTGTGAGAATAAATTTATAAGATTGAGTTATGAGCAAATCTTTATTGTTTCATGTTTGGCTATAAGGAATTCAAGTGTCATAACCGCAAGGGGTTGACCTGGTGGTCAAAAGGTTTACTCCCTTTGTTGATTTTTTTGGTTCAAACCACCTTAGAGTCACCTACCACATTTCTGTGTTACTTGAAACATTAGACTTATGGGGTATTCAATGGGCTTAAAGATTAGTTGAAGTACGCACAAACTGACCCGAACACCCGTTATCAGAAAAGAAAAAAAAAAAAAATTCAAGTGTCCTTGACTCAACCAAATTGCATCACTCTGTCATTTGCATAATCTATAAATAATTCTGTAAAGTAGTCCTATTCTTTTGAATAATACCCAAAAAGACATTTTTCATGTGATGGTAAGATATACAAAACTAGGGTTGTTCATTTGATAATAATTTTTTTTTTAATTTAATTATCACAACACAAAAGATATAATATCATCATTCATTACAAGAAAATGGTTGTATTACAATTTACACAGAGTTGTAATTTAACATAAAATTACTGAAGATAAGGAGTGAAAACTGTCAAAACTTCCTTGTAAACAGACTTCTTGAAATCCACCGCCTTCAAAGCCACCAAAAGCAAACCCAAAATTTAGAGAAGAAACACTAGGATATACTGTAATAGAGTCGGAGTCATTTTCTAATGCGAACGTCCATAAATTAAAATCCAAATTCAAATATATATATATATATTTAAGAATTTTTGTATGATATAAAACTAATTCTGATATGAACTAATTAAAGAAGTAAGGTCTACTTACATGGTCAATTATTTGTTCCGCTGTCATCCATGACCACTCGCCGAACTCAGGTTTCTCAGTCCCATCGCCCCGAAGATTGACCTCTTCGTCCTTCCCAGTAAACTTAAAAAGATACCTGGATTGTTGCATTCTTACATCAGAAAGACAATAAAACAAATGCAGATTGGAATTGACATGAAAACTAAAGTAAATAGTATCAATTGTAAAGCAGCAAGTGCAGAGCTAATATGCAGGGTAAAGTCTTTGAAGAAAAAGCACACAAAAACTATTGGCGTAAATCTTGTGTGTCTACTTCATAATTGTTGGTAGAGAGAAGGAAATCAAGGAGACTCAGTGCTGAGTTGGTGTTTGCTATCACTGTATACAGGGCTTTGTAATCTCTACAATTACTGGTCATATACAGACCTCTAGACATATGCACAATATTGTAGTCTTTCTTCATAATTAATAATAACCAAATCATCCTCTCTTCTTCCCTATATGTATTATACTTCTAATATTTTCTACCAATTCTAAGCTGGGGCTAGATTGGTGACTGGTTGAAGTAGCAAATATTCTAGTCATTTCATACATATAAAAGTTTTTTGGCACGTCGATGGAGATGTACACCGACGCAATTTGGCTATGTTCCAACGGATAGAATGCATCGGTAGAGGTCATTTCTAGTAGTGCAAGTTAGTTACCATTTCTGAACTTGGCCTTTCAAGAAGTATCCCATATGTTTAATTCTTTCCCTGACTTCGGGAGAGAAATCGTATGTCACCCAATGAGGAACCTGCATTCATATTTGAATTCGCAATAGATTAGAGTATTATTAGACACTCCTATACTCGAACACAGAAAGAAGAGAGTTATACATGAATGAAAGAATCAAAGAACAATGAGTAAAAGCGAAACCTCGGCAATAACTTGTGCTGTGCAAATTCCAGTTTCTTCTCTTAATTCTCTTATGGCTGCAACTTTCGGATCTTCACCCTCATCAATACCACCCTGTTCAACAAGTTAATATTTAGATGACACAAGATATGCCACATAAAAGTAGTACATATTTTAGAAGGATAACTCAAGGAAATGCTACCGGCTTCACTTGAACTATAATAATATACTGCAAGTTTCTAGCTCTGTTAATAGTCAGAATCTGGGTATCTTTAATTACATGTAAAAATTCCCCAAAACATAGCTATTACTAATAATCCACAAATGTTCAATCTCCATTTTATTTTTCTTTATTTGATAATCTAGAAATCACAATTCAAAAATCCTATGAACCCAATAATCTTTGCGAAGCGAAAGACAATGGCCTTTGGCCATGTTAATGTTCGGCTAACACCTCATCGATCAGTCTCCATTTTATTGAAATTTACATGAAACACCACTTTACAAAAATCGCTTTACCGGGATTTGTACCTGACGGTACAGTTACCTGGGGCATTTGCCAAGCTTCGATTACAGTGAGTCTTGAAGCTGCAAAAATCTGAAATATTTATGCAAATCCATGATCATTTTATTAATTAATATAAACCAATAAAAATAAAAAACACAGACAAAAATTTAGAATTAAGAGCGTGAAAGGTTATTAAATTAAACCTTTTTGGAAGAATTGATGAGACAGATACCAACGTTTTTCCGATAGCCTTCAGGAGGCCAGTCAAGGGATGAACACGCAAGTGGTTGGGTGGAGATTTTGGCTCGTTTAGGAGGGTATTTTGGGAATGCAAAGCAAGTGTTGGAGGGATTAAGAAGAGAGGAAGAAGGACGAAGCGGGAAATTTAAGGAGATGAAGGGGGTTGAAGCCATGGCCATTGTTTTTCAAATAGCTTTTGCTCTCTGTGTGTTATTCCTTCAACTATGGAGTAACGTAAATTCCAAAGCCATTGCTATGGTGAGGTTTTATGAAATTTGCGAAAAAAATAAATAACTCCAAAATCACATTTTCCATTTATGGTTAACAGTAAACTAAATGCTTTTCTCAACAGAAAAAAAAAAAAAAAAAAAAAATATATATATATATATAAAAGGTGATAAGATAGTCTGAACATCTCATTGCCATTGGTAGCCTTGCTTAGTTAGAGAATTCCACAATTGGTGTGCAAATATAAATAGGTTTAAATTCCACTGTTGTTTTTGTATGAATGTGAATTTTGTCTTGATTATATTTGAGTTTGGTATATTGGAGGAAATTAAAAACCATTATTTCATATGTTAAGTCAAAGTTTTCGATAATTTATTATATATTTGAGTTTGGTATATTGGAGGAAATAACTTTTTTATTAATTTCACGTGAAAAATTATGAACATTCTGGCAGTGTTCTGAAACCCAGACCGAACCGGTTGATCGGATCGAGGATCGATAGCCTTTCTGATTCGGTTCAGGTTCCAAGGGGTTTTTGTTACATTTCAAACTTATAGAGACTAATTTGTAATTTTATAGGGGTGTTTTTCAAATTTTCAAAACTTTAGGGTCTGTTCGTTTGTTATTTTGGATAGAATTTTAGATATAGTATTGGATAGTTGAATAGGGTGATTATTATGAGGTAAAATTTAAAAATTAATAAAAAACCCCATAGGTTTGCTAATTTAACTAAACACCCCAATATATAAAAATTTTGTGAAATGACAAAAACACCTCCACCTACCTAGAGTGTCAGATTCCGGTCACCACTGTCAGAATCTGGTCGGAATCTGGTGTTACAACGTAAACTGGTCGGATCTGGCCGGTCGTGCATCGATCTGACCTTTTTCGGTCAGATCTGCCACGGATCTGGCAGAAAAATGCCAAATCGATGGCCAGATCTAGTAGTCAATGGCCGCAAAATGCCAGATCTGGCCGTCAGCGACGACCATTTCTTTGGCCATTGTTGACGACCAGATCTGGCCTTTTCTGGCCAAATCCACTGTGGACCTCGCCGGAAAAGGCCAGATCGACGAATTACCGGTCAGTTCCGATCGTTTGTACGCCGTTGTGACAGATTTTGGCTACCAACGACGGTGGTTGCTGGAATCTGACAACTATGGGTAGGTGGGGGTGTTTTTGTTAATTTTTAAACTTTTTTCTGGGGTGTTTAATTAAATTAATAAACTTAAGGGGTCTAAAAGTAATTGAGTAAAATATAATAGTATTTCCTAAATAATGAAACAAACGGTTATTTTAAGAATAGGATTGAGAATAGGGTATGAAATATTAAACCAAACGGACCCTTAAAGACTACTTCATACTTTTGGGGCATTTTTAAATATCTTAATTTTAGGGACTAAATTCAAGTTTTAGGGGTGTTTTTGTAATAAATTAAAATTTTAAGGACTAATAAATTTTTGAAAAATATTTTTATTGCTAACGTCATCGGTCCTATCGACTGGATTAATCAACTCGGGAACTGGACCCTTGATTGGGTCAAGCCGTCAAGGCTCGATGCAGTTTTTAGAACCTTGCATTCTGGCATTAATAATTAACTAGTTTACATTAAAATTTTGACTTAAAACTTCAACTATTTAAAATTGCTGCCAACAATTTCAAAGGTGCCAAATTTGGAGCACTTACTTTAAAATTACATATTTTGGTCAAATGAAAAGGTTTTGGTAATCTAAACGAAGGACTCCTATTTTGGTCATAATAGTGATTGGTGCTCATACGAGGCTAGTGATTTTTAGCCTTCACTTTTTTATAATAGCCCCCATTTTTCTTTTTATTATAACAAGTTAACCTTAAATAAAATTATTATAAAGGACGCTCTGAATTCTAAGTACACTCTTTACTTATTTTATTTTCTTTTATTTTTTATAACATTTAAAACTGATAGTTTTATCTTTTAAATTGATTTAAAAAAAAAAAACATAAAAAATAGTCAATTTTCACTTCTTCATCTAATTTACTTTTTCGGCTAATTTGAATTTTCATATCCTCATTCTTTTTTTTTTTTTTCATGTCTATGTTGTTTTCTTAAACCTTAGAGGTATAAAATAATCCGTTTTAAACATTAAAAAAAACACAAAAGTAGAACTTTCATTTAACAGATTATCTCACTTATTGGTGGGTTTTTTAGAATGATTGAAGTTATTTTAGGAACACGGAACTTTACACACACAACTTGTTGGTTGATTGAAGAGTATAGAAAATATAAAATCCATTAACAATTAAGAAGACAAAACCTTGAGTTTATGAGACTTAAAATCTATTTAGTAATAAGGGTAGTGAATTTTATTCAAATGAGGTTTTATTCAGAGTTTAGTGGGGTTAAAATAACACTCTCTTAACAAAATAAACCATGCTTTAAGCGTAAATAATAATCATTGAGCCCACCAAACGGCTAGGTCCAAACATAACATAATTAATTAAAGAGTAAACGACTCTTCCCACCGAAGGTTTGCTCACAATTTTTCGCCTAAAAATTTCAAAATATCACTTTCCACCCAAAGTTTAATATATTAATACCCAAAGCCAATTCCAAATGATTCGGAGGCGAAATTCTCTTGTCACCACCCTTGAATCTCCGATTTCTTTCTACAAAACCTCTTACTTCGGTATCTGATTTCTCGTCGATTACTAACCACTGCAAAGTTAGGGTTTCTTGTTCTTAGTTGATTTCAAACTGATTCCAACGGCGATATTCAATCGATCACCACCATTTGATCCACGACCTTACTCTATAAAACCCTCTTACCAGGGCTCTGATAACTCACCGAACGCTGACTAAGAAAGTAAGTGTATTTTGAGTATTAATAGAATATAAACTTTGGGTGGGAATGTGGTATTTTGAAACTTTTTGGGTGGAAAAGTGTCATTAAGGAAACCTGGGGGGGGAAAAAGTGTTTTACTTTATTAAAATCTAAGCTAATGACTTGAAATTCTCGAATAGTCACAAACCTCCTTTAAAGTTTGTCAAGACCTCTCTAAAATTTTTTAATACAAAAGTTAATGGCAAATATTAAGCTAGAATTCCAAAAAAAAAAAAAAAAAAAATTTAAAATGATTTTGATTAGCATCATATGTGACATTAACTTATAATTTACTAATTATTTATCACTTACAGTTAATACATAAAAATATCATATCACTTCAAATATAAATTTGAAATATTATTTAGATTCATGATAAATATAGTCAAACTTTCGATTATTTATTTAACAAAAAAAGATAAAACAATAATTTTTTGATAAAGAAACATTCATAGAAAGAAATTATGATATCCTTTATAGAATCTAGATAGTCACTACACTCGTCACTCACTACCAAACATTAGGTTTCAAATGTATTTCCCCATTGAGGTTCATGAAAAATCATTTACCCTCCTTGAGTTTGAGAAATATCTTTGACTTCCCTACTTTTATTATTTGTGTATAGGACCAAATAGTTAGAGGTGCGCAAATCTCATTAATACCCTTAAACAGTAAATAATTTATTTTTTAAATAATAACTCTGTTTAATAGAATTTCATGATACTAATTATTTTGTTACAAAAAATAGGGGAGAATTTTGCATGTTTTCAAACTTGATGGGTGGCAGTTTCCTTGCAAACCGTAGGGGATAAGTGATTTAAGCCAAATTTGTATAATTAGAAGATCAAAGTTATAGGCTCCTTTGTTTTCTTTTAGAATAGTATTCTATTCTGAATAAGATTTAATCAAACATGATAGGATCTTGAATCTGTTTGGTACATTTGGAAAATAATTTATAAAAATATTTAGATTATTTTAAACCCTTATATTTAATTTATTAAACACCCCTATAATAAAAGTTTATAAATAACAAAACACTCCCCATCACTAATAATTGTCGACAGTCGACCACCATCGTCAGACGGTGGCCAAAAGTCGTCGGAATGGCGCACGACCAAACTGGATCTGATGGTCGTATGCCGATCTGACCTTTCAGCCAGACCACATAGATTGCCCGGAAATAGCCAGATCTACGACAAAGATTTGGTCGTTAAAAATGACATATCTTGATTGTCGTTGACAGCCAGATTTTTGTCCGTAGATTTGGCCATTCCAGCAGATCCATGGTGGATCTAGCCGAAAATGGATAGATCGACACATGATTGTCAAATCCAGTCGGTCGTGTGTCGTTACAACGTCGGCGGCTGGCGACGGGACTGTTGGCAGGTCATAAGGGCTTGGGTGGATGGGGGTGTTTTTATAATTTTAAAACTTTTATTGATAAAAATAATTATTAATGTTTAAAGTTGAATAAAATATGATTGGATTTTGAGAACATAAAACAAAAATATTTTTTAAGATAAGATAGTGGAATAGGATAGTGGTAAAATAGGGAAAAAAAAACGAAGCCATAAAGCTTTAAACCAATTTAAATATAGTTAGCTTAATTTCTTAAAATTGGAATAAATTTATCGGTCCAATAATTTTACCAAGAACCTCCTAATAGCGTTATAAATAGAAAAAAACTAAAATAAAGAAATCATTATCGTCATTTTAATCAAATACCTCATCTCTAGTATACCTTTACTAGTACTCCAATCAAGATGAAATTTTGACACAGAACTGAACTTTAATGTATTTCTATATGGAATGCGAAACCAGTTGACTGCTCAGTAGAATTTGACCTTGAGGTCTTAGATGTACTTCTTAGTAGGATTTAAACATTTTTGTGTACCTCTATGTAGAATCTAAATTCAAATGGACCCTAAGAGAATTGAACCTAGATGTATTTCTTAGAGATAAATGGAACACAAATGACCTTCTAACCATTTGTAAAAGAAAAAAGAACGAGTTCCTTCAATCTATTCGGGAAGTAATGTTTATTCATGTGTCTTTTACGTATCTTGTGTATAATCAGAATATAGATAAACTTTTAATGGATTTTGATCCAGATATACCTTTTGGTATAATTTAAACCCTGAGTACCTCTTAGAAAATTAGAATTTAAATGAAGTTCTTAACATCTGTAAGAGAAAAAGAACGAATTTTATATTATCAAACAAAAATTCTTTCCATTTCTCTGAAAAACAATAAGAATAAGTGGGAATTGAAGAATATCAGAAGATGATATTAATGGAATCAATGTGGATTCTATCTGTGTTTATTCTTGCAGATGAAAGGAAGCATTCATAGAATTAATCATATATATAACATATCCAAATGTGAATTAAAATTAGAGATAAAAATGAGCAAGACAGAAATAAAAAGGGAAAGTCAAAATCAAATTTGCTAGAAGCAAAAGTGGGGCCACAAAGCCAAAAGGAAGCTCCAAGTGTTAGAAAAAATTCTGCTTTTTTCTCCCTCTCGTTACATCAATTGGCAGTTACAGCTGAACTTTTATAAAAAAATCTCTCATTCTCAGTCTCCACGTAGCACCGAAGTGTTAATATAAATATATTTTTAACTCTCCCTTTCTTCGTCTTTTCATGGCGACAACAATGGCGGACTTTCCTCCAACCCCAGAGGACGGAGAGCTCTGGCTCCTTCTGAAACATCCATGAAATTACTTCTGCAAATGTCACAGTTTCACCCCCAAGACACACCCTTTGCTCCACCATCATCACATCCTCCTGTTCACCCAAACTTAAGGTAATATTAATTTTCCCACTTTCCCACTTTCTTTACTGTATTTTTAGGCGTCTCATTACTTTTGGCTCACAAATTGCAGATTTGCTTTGGTTCTCATGGTGTTAACCAAAATGGTGTTCGCCGGAACTTGCAGTGAATCCTCCAACCTTTTACGTTTACCACCAATTACACCCGTTGTACAGGTGAATCAGAATACAGTGAAATATATTTAAAGGAGAAAAATATCTTATTATACAAGGTTTCATAAACATTTAATTAATTTGTGTAGGGTTTTAGGAGAAAGGAAGCATGGTTTGTGTTGAAAAAAAGGAGGAACAGTGGTCTTTCTTCCTCCTCGTTCAGTGAATACTCCTGCAGTTTCTAAGAAAAAACCTGAAGAGATTGGATCAAATCCTGGAGTTGCCACTCAAAAGAAGAAAGGGTAGGTTAATTTAACGTTGCATATTGGAAAATGTTATTTTTAGTTCGATGATAATATTAATATAAAAAAATTGAGTTATTTGAAAGGTGTTTGAGTGTGTCTTTTGTTCCCTAATTTGGGTTAAACCATATGAAAATTTGTTGTTTAGTTGAAAAATGAAGGTGAAACTGGCTGTTCATCATTTTTGATGGGTTTGCATTTAGTAATTTGGTTATTCCTTTTATGTACATGTTCATGATGCATTGATAATCAAGGGTTTTGGTTATATCAGAGTTGGAAATTGTAAATTTCTACATTTGTTGTAGTTCTCCTATCATTAATTTCAATGCCAAGACCCGTATCATATGTTTTATCAAGACCACATACTAATCACCGTGTTATGATAATCCGTTTTTCTGTGTGTCGCTGAATTTGAACTTCCGCTAATAAAACCATTATTAATGTTGTTGAATATTATCTATTTTTTGCACATAATATTTTGTTTTTTGTTATATTAGATTATTTATTATTGATGATCGAATATTTGAAATATATAGGTGGGAAGAAGGAAGGAGGAAGTAATGAGGAGATGAAATGGAGCAGCATGAAGAAGGAAAGTCTGGAAAAGAAAGAGCAGTACTCTCCATCCTCCTGGGATTTGTTTGCCTCAGATTGGACTTACTAAAAACCAGAACCTTGTTCCTGAATTAACTTCTCCGTTATAGGAGAATATGAAATAAATTAATAAATAATTTTTTTTTTTTTGTTACAACGGAGTTTCAAGTCAATTTATACGCAACTCAAATAATCCCTTTGAACCTTGAAACTATCAGCTGAGTAAAAGCTCCAATAACTATCTCTATTAAGACCAAAAGAAATACTCGAAATCAAAACCTCTCGAGTAATACTCCCAGGGTTTTTATTGAACCACGATCATTTTGAATATTGCATTTGTAGAATTGTAATAGGTTTGATGACATGGATCTAGACAAACTAATATACTTGAATTAGAAATCAAGTCGACTTTTTCAATTTAATTATTTATATTATTTACAAAGTAGAGCAACATAACATAATAAGTTTTCAATAAGAGAAACCTGTAGGAATTGTAGGGAAATGATTTGTTGACTAAGAGCATCTCCAATGGTGTTCTTTATTTAAAAAGCATATTTTATTAAATAATGCCTCTCATTGATTTTTAAATATAAAAAACAAATTTATTCACAATCCAATAGACTCTTTAAATTTTAGGAGGAAAAATGTTTTTAAAAAAAAGAAACTTAATAGGAAAGATAAATCATAAATAAAAGCATAGAAACTTACAATTTTTATTTAAAATTAGGATAGAGAGTGAAATTTAACTCTCTAAATGAGAGAGTCAATCCCCTCTTTTTATATATTTAAAGAATAAGAGTTATTGGATCTTGTTTCTATGGATAAACTCTTTATAAAAGAGTTTAAGTCATATAACGAGTCATTGGAGCGCTCTAAGTCGGAAATGATTTAATAAAAATAATTTGCTAAAGTCAAATTAAGTTCTTCTCCAAACGATAATAATATAATTAATTATGGACCTTCGTATAATTATATTCATATTATTGAATATCATAACTGAGACTAGGTGGCTTCCACAAAATTAAAGAAATAGCAAACGACATGTTCCCATCCCGTGTTTAGCGAAATCCAAAGTTCATACCCTTGATTGCATTTATTACAAATTGTCATATTTAAACTAACACTGTTAATGAATTTTGACTTGTGCTATTACCACATTGTCCTTGACTTTTGAATTCACCCCACCCAACCATCATCACCATCACCATCCAGCCACCACCACCACCCACCAAGCCCACTTGACTGCCGTTAAGGCTCGATCTAGCCTGATTTCGACACCAATTGCCAATCCAACACCACTATTAGGATCCTCTCATCTACCTCTCCAAAACCCTTCTCATCTCCAACTGCGTACTGCTGCCATTCGTTGACCACCGCAATTTTTTTGTTCGCGTAGTTGCAAACTATCAGGCCTAATTCTAGCAGTTTTTCGACTCCAAAATCCACCCTCTCACCACCCGTAGACTCACTGGCCTGTCCTCTTCAAAAGCCCCAATAACCCAAATCGTGTTAGCTCTCCGATCACTGGCAACCTCCTCTAGGGTTTCTTGCGGGTTTTTTTTTGTGAATTTGGGTTTAAATTGGAGTTTTTTATAGAGTTGATTGGGTGTATTGGTTGTGTCTTTGGAGTTGGTGATTGTTTTGAAGTGTTTTATGTTTTTAGGTGTTTTTTTCTGGCCAATTTCCCCCTGCCGGCAACTTACCATCCCCTCCTTTTTTGTGCACACCAGGTGTTTGAAATTTTGCCTCAACGAACACCCAATTACTAAGATCACCTTTGTAACCGTCGACCAGTCCTCACCAAAACAACTAATCAAAACAACGGTGCTGGAATTAGGCCAAACTGGCTTGAACCGGTGGTTGCGAAAAAATCGATCAAAAAAGTCGCAAAAAGCAACCGTCCTTTAGCGAAAAGAGGCGGTTGTAATTGACAATAGATGAGCAAGTGAGGCAAAAGGAGGCAAGGGTTTCATAAAGAAGATAGAGGGGGTTTAAATGGTGGTGGCGGTGAAGATTCTCGGTTGACAAAATGGTAGGAAAAGTTGTTGCAAAGTGGTTGTTTGTGAGAAAAAGCAGTGGGCTTTTCCAACAAATGGTGCGTGATCAGGTGACAAAGTGATATGGGTTTTAAAAAGGAGATGATGAGGGATTGAATGGTGGTGGCGGCTTAGATTTCTGATGACATAAATGCTCAGAAACTGGTCGAGAAGAATGGAAGTCGCGCAAAAATGTAGGTTGGCAAAANTGGCGATGAAGATTCTCGGTTGACAAAACGGTCGAAAAAGCTGTTGCAAAGTGGTTGTTTGCGAGAAAAAGCAATGGGCTTTCCGACAAACGGTGCGTGATCAGGTGACAGAGTGATATGGGTTTTAGAGGGGAGATGATGAGGGGTTGAATGGTGGGGGCGGCTTAGATTTCTGATGACATAAATGCTCGAAAACTGGTCGAGAAGAATGGAAGTCACGCAAAAATGTAGGTTGGCAAAAAGACCATTTATAGAGCAGATAGAAGGGGTTTAAATGGTGGTGGTGGTGAAGATTTCTGGTTGACAAAACGGTTGGAAAAGTGGTTGTAAAGTGGTTGTTTGCGTGAAAAAACAATGGGCTTTTTTGACAAACAGTGAGTGATCAGGCAGCGAAGTGATATGGGTTTTAAAGAGGAGATGATGAGGGATCGAATGGTGGTGGCGGCTTAGATTTCTAATGACAAAAACGTCCAAAAACTGGTCGAGAAGAATGAAAGTTACGCAAAAATGCAGATTGGCAAAATGACTATTTTAGTCTTTAATTGTTAAAAAGAAAAGTAACGGTGTCCATTTATAGGTGAGAATTTAGAATTTTTGAAACCAGGTTTCAACGTAGGATTCCGCTAACCCTCGGTGGGAATACGTCCTTTACTCTTAAATATTTTTATTTGTGTTTAGTTGTAAATCTTATATAACAGAGTTTTGATATGTCAGATGTTAGCATTTCTGATGCTATTATCAAGAATAATATATATTTATAAGTTATAAATATGTAATTAACACCCTTAAAAATATGACCAAATTAAAAAAATATAATCTTAATAATTAGGAAAACATATTAATCTAAATTCTAAAATTATGTTAAAACTTTAATTAATTACAATTACAATAACATTTCCATAAAAGGTAAAGTAAAAGAAAAGAAAAGAAAAGAAAAGAAAAAAATTGAATTGACCAAAAGAGAAACAGTTTGGAGGACTCCTAACTCAACGAAGCATTGTCAAAATCAATTCAAAAGACACCCCCTATATCTCTGCAAATATGTCAAAACTTCTTTCACTTACCCCACATCTTCACCAAATCCTCTTCCTTTTCAAATAATCCAATAATCAAACCACCCATTTCCCATCCAAGAAGCAGAAACAACGAAGAAAAATGGTGGTGGTGGGAGTTACCGGCATGGAGTCTCTTTCTTTGAGTGAAAAAGCCGCCAGAATGAGAGAGTCTTTGCAGAAATCCCAAATGATTACTGATAACGTTGTCTCCATTCTTGGCTCTTTTGACCACCGCCTCTCCGCTCTTGAAACCGCCATGCGTCCCACTCAGGTTATTTTATTATTATTATTTTTTTTTTTTTTTGTGTTTGGTTCACGGGAAAGTTTTGAGGAAATGAAACGAATCTAGTTCCAGTAAGGAAAAATTGTTGCTTGATGTGGTTTAGTTAACTTTTGGATCGGATCGGGTCAGGTCCATTTGGGAGATTTGTTTTGTTGAAGTGTTTTGTTTGGTTTCTTGATTTTGTAGAACAAGATTTGTTGTTTAGATCTTTTTTTTTTATTTTATTTTGATTTTTCAGATTAGAACACATGCAATCAGAAAGGCTCATGAGAATATTGATAAGACTTTGAAGGCTGCAGAGGTTATTTTGGCTCAATTTGATCTTTCTCGTCAGGTTGGTTTCAAAGCTTACTGTGATTTTTAATTTTACCAATTAGATCTCTTAGAATTGTTTATAATGGTAGTTTGATGTTTGGCTGAACATTAGTTATATGGTTTAATTTTGGGCTTTTAGATTGAGGTCAGTTTTACCATATTACCAGTGTTATGGTGTCCATAACTGCCCAGCAGAAAACTGAACATAATCAAGACTTTGGCCTGCGATATCATCCATGCTGGCTTAAATTAAGAGAATGCGAGATTATTTAAACAAGAACACCTCCCTGAACAGTCTAGTTTCAACAATCTACAATCCGTTGCCCTATTCAGTGAGATATTTAAAGCAAAAGATAATAGGGAAGGAAATTTGGCAATCGCCATATTATTCCAATTCCTTAAAAATTAAAAATCTACCAAAAGGAATATGAAGAAGAAATCTTCTTTTTGATAGAAGATTGTGAGTGGTTGACAATATATAGAGATAAGGAAATAAAGAGTAAACTGGAGCTTCATACAACCCTAAAACGAGTAGATGGTTAGATCATCTCTTGAGAAAGGAACAAAAACAATAGAAAAAGTTCATAAAAAAATTGTGTGGCAGAAGATATACAATGAAAATAATTTCATGAACTTGAACAAAACTAAGTCTAAATTGGTCAAGACCCCATTCTAGTTGAGATGAATAAAGAAAAGTGAATTGCCTTTGAGGTCTTTCGAAGCCAAGACTCACATTGAAGCAAAAAAAAAGGCACTTTGTCCCTCATCACTCTAGAATATTTTGCTTTTGCATCTTCAAGAATCGCATATTTTTTCATGCCAAATGAGCCGAGAAGAGCTAGGACTTAACATTTGAAGGTGTCTTGGCCTTCTTTCCTTTACCAAACACTCAAAAAATGTTGTGGTGGAAGGGAATATCAGGATCTTGGAATAGCTCACCGGAAGTTGGCTTCTTTGCAAGCTTTTAACCAGAAGAATGAAGTCATTGTGCATTGGAGGGAGAGATGACCTTCTTTCTCTTCATCCTTTCTGTCAATCTTATGAATGGGACAAATTTGTTGCTGATTACCTTATTTGAGTAACTTCTACTCCACTGTACTTTCCAAAACTAGAATTCAAACTGTAGACTTCAATTTTAGGGGGAGCAGGAGCTTTCATGTCATTATATAGTTTTTCAAAGTAAGATTTATAATACAATTCTATAAAGTTATAGAGATACTATAGTTGGTACAATTATTTAATCCTGAAGACCCTTATGGTTTTATTTAGAATTCTATCCAGAAGGGTTAATATGAAAAATGACCTTATTTTAAGTTGCAGTTTCCTTAATTATTCAGCATCCATAAATTTCCTCAAAAATTATTTATAATGCTTATATATATATACATAACTCTGTTCTTTTCCATTCAGGTTTCAAGGTATCAAGACCTTTACCTGATGTTATGTCTTTTATCCTTATTATCTATGTGTATGATTTTTTCATGGCTGTTAACAATTTGTTGTTCTGGTTTATAGGCAGAAGCTAAAATACTTAGGGGGCCACATGAGGAAATCCCTCATCTCTAGTATACCTTTTACTAGTACTCCAATCAAGATGAAATTTTGACACAGAACTGATCTTTAATGTATTTCTATATGGAATGCGAAACCAGTTGCACTGCTCAGTAGATTTGACCTGAGTCTTAGATGTACTTCTTAGTAGGATTTAAACATTTTTGTGTACTCTATGTAGAATCTAAATTCAAATGGACCCTAAGAGAATTGAACCTAGATGTATTCTTAGTAGAATTGGAACACAAATGACCTTCTAACCATTTGTAAAAGAAAAAAGAACGAATGTATCCTTCAATCTATTCGGGAAGTATGTTATTCATGTGTCTTTTACGTATCTTTGTGTATAATCGAATATAGATAACTTTTAATGGATTTTGATCCAGATATACCTTTTGGTAATTTAAACCCTGAGTACCTCTTAGAGAATTAATTAATTAAATGACGTTTCTAACATCTGTAAAGAAAAAAGAACGAATTTTATATTTCAAACAAAATTCTTTCCATTTCTCTGAAAAACAATAAGAATAAGTGGGACATTGAAGATATACAGAAGATGATATTAATGATCAATGTGATTCTATCTGTGTTTATTCTTGCAGATGAAAGGAAGCATTCCATAGAATTAATCATATATATTAACATATCCAAATGTGAATTAAAATTAGAGATAAAAAGAGCAAGACAGAATAAAAAGGGAAAGTCAAAATCAAATTTGGCTAGAAGCAAAAGTGGGGCCACAAAGCCAAAAGGAGCTCCAAGTGTTAGAAAAATTCTGCTTTTTTCTCCCTCTCGTTACATGCAATTGGCAGTTACAGCTGAACTTTTTATAAACATCTCTCATCTCAGTCTCCACGTAGCACCGAAGTGTTAATAAATATATTTCTTAACTCTCCCTTTCTTCGTCTTTTCATGGCGACAACAATGGCGGACTTTCCTCCAACCCCAGAGGACGGAGAGCTCTGGCTCCCTTCTGAAATCATCCATGAAATTACTTCTGCAAATGTCACAGTTTCACCCCCAAGACACACCCTTTTGCCTCACCATCATCATCATCCTCCTGTTCCCCAAACTTTAAGGTTAAATATTTAATTTCCCACTTTCCCACTTTCTTTTACTGTATTTTTTATGGCGATCTCATTACTTTTTGGCTCACAAATTGCAGATTTGCTTTGGTTCTCATGGTGTTAACCAAAATGGTGTTCGCCGGAACTTGCAGTGAATCCTCCACCCTTTTACGTTTACAACCCAATTACACCCGTTGTACAGGTGAACAGAATACAGTTGAAATATATTTAAAAGGAGAAAAATATCTTTTATTATACAAGGTTTCATAAACATTTAATTAATTGTGTAGGGTTTTGAGGAGAAAGGAAGCATGGTTTGTGTTGAAAAAAATGGAGAACAGGTGTCTTTCTTCCTCTTCCTCGTTCAGTAATACTCCTGCATTTTCTAGAAAAAACCTGAAGAGATTGGATCAATCCTGGAGTTGCCACTCAAAGAAGAAAAAGGGTAGGTTAATTTAACGTTGCATATATGGAAATTGTTATTTTTTATAGTTCGATGATAATTAATATAAATAAAATTGAGTTATTGAAAGTGGGTTTTGATTGTGTCTTATTGTTCCCTAATTGGGTTAAACCAATTATGAAATTTGTTGTTTAGTTGAAAATGAAGGGTGAAACTGGCTGTTCATCATTTTATGGTAGGGTTTGCATTTATGTAATTTGGTTATTCCTTTTATGTCACATGTCATGATGCATTGATAATCAAGGGTTTTGTTGTTATATCAAGTTGGAACATTTGTAAATTTCTACATTATTGTAGTTCTCATTATCATTAATTTCAATGCCAAGACCGTCTTAATAGTTTATATCAAGACCACATACTAATCACCGTGTTATGTATCCGTTTTTCTGTGATTATCGCTGAATTTGAACTTCCGCTAATAAAACCATTATTATGTTGTTGAATATTATCTATTTTTTGCACATAATATTTTGTTTTATTGTTATATTAGATTATTTATTATGATGATCGAAATTTTGAAATATATAGGTGGGAAGAAGGAAGGAGGAAGTAATGGGAATGAAATGAGCAGCATGAAGAAGGAAAGTCTGGAAAAGAAGACAGTACTCTCCACTTCCTCCTGGGATTTGTTTGCCTCAGGATTGGACTTACTAAAAAACCAGACCCTTGTTCCTGATTAACTTCTCCGTTATAGGAGAATATGAATAAATTAAAAATATTTTTTTTTTTTGTTTACAACGGAGTTTCAAGTCAATTTATACGCAACTCAACTATCCCTTTGAACCTTGAAACTATCAGCTGAGTAAAAGCTCCAAATAACTATCTCTATTAAGACCAAAAGAAATACTCGAACTCAAAACCTCTCGAGTAATACTCCCGGAGTTTTTATTGAACCTCTCATTTTGAATATTCCATTTGGAATTGTAATAGGTTTGATGACAGGATCTAGAACCAACTAATAACTTGAATAGAAATCAAGTCGACTTTTTCAATTTAATTCATTTATTTATTTATTTATTACAAAGTAGAGCAACATAACCCTAATAAGTTTTCAATAAGAGAAACCTGTAGGATGTAGGAAATAGTTGTTGACTAAGAGCACTCCCATGGTGTTCTTTATTTAAAAAGCATATTTTATATAATAAATAGCTCTTCATTGATTTTTATATAAAAACAATTTTTTATTCAAATCCATAGACTCTTAAATTTTAGGAGGAAAATATGTTTTTAAAAAAAAGAAACTTAATGAAGATAAATCATAAATAAAATGCATAGAAACTTACAAATTTATTATTTAAAATAGATAGAGAGTGAAATTTAACTCTCTAAATGAGAGAGTCAATCTCACTCTTTAATTATATTTAAAGAATAAAGATTTATTGGACTCTTGTTTCATGGATAAACTCTTTATAATAAAGAGTTTAAGTCATATAAAGAGTCATTTGGAGATGCTCTAAGTAGAAATGATTTAATAAAATAATTTGCTAAGTCAAATTAAGTTCTTCTCCAAACGATAATAATATAATTAATTATGGACCTTCGTATAAATATATTCATATTTTGAATATCATAACCGAACCAAGTGGCTTCCACAAATTAATAAAGGGCAAACGACATGTTCCCATCCTAGGTTTAGCGAAATCCAAAGTTCATACCCTTGGTTGCATTTATTACAAATTGCCACCTTTAAACTAACACTGTTAACGAATTTTGACTTGTGCTATACCACACGCCCTGACTTCTGAATTCACCCCACCCAACCATCACACATCGCCTTACCATCCAAACACCACCCACCAAGCCCACTCGACTGCCATTAAGGCCCATTGGCCTATTTCGACACCAATTGCCAATCCAACACTAGCATCAGATCCTCTCATTTACCTCTCCAAAACCCTCTCATCTCCACCGCATACTGCTACCGTTCTTGACCACCGC